CGCTGCGGGCACCGTTCAAGTGACTTAATCCGTGTTAGGATGCCATCACCACTTTTTGAGCAAATGCGATCGTGTGAAACTATAAATAGAACTCAACAATGTACAAGTGCAATCCGATTCTGTGTACTTCTGCATTCGAAGAAACAGCAGGAGATGTTTCGCTAACTCTGTTGACATTACAAGTTACCTTTTCCATCGAACATTGCATGTACCAATGGACACAAACAATAACATTGCGAAAATGCCAGTATTGCTTTCGAGCATGATCAGACATAAGCATTGCGCAAGTTTCATCTTCTTGAATGGAGCAACAGCACTTTGGCTACTCAGTGAATCAAACGAAATTGGGCGTCTTGACTGTTCCATCGACAAAGGTAATCGACCAGCTGTTTTCTCATTCGGTCAAGTCGCCTATTTCGTTACACTAACAAACTGGCGCCGCCACGGTCCAACTTTCAAGAAATTCTGCCAAGGTCAGTAATTTTAAATTAATTCACTAATTACTCAATTACATGAAGAAAAAATAAATTAATCATATAGTCAAATAATTCATTTATCTCTCAATAAGTGAGCTGAGTAATCCATCAACGACAATAACCATTTTGCCCCCCACAATTGGGACGACCTTGAAGGAAGCTGCATCCTTTTTCTCGTGCTGGTATTTGAACACCTTGTTGCCACAATGTTTGCTCGAATGCACACCCAGGTGCTGCAGATGAGCTGCAGATAAAGTAACCGCCAACAAAACTTGTCATTTGTGAGATGACCGTTGATCGACTACGTTATAATGTTCACTTAGTTGACCTAAACAAAACTGCTTAATTAGGTAATTTTATTTGTCCGCACCGTACCTGGCACGCCTCTGGCTCGGCCACCTCGTCCAACTGACATACGAACACCATTTCATCATTGCACAATCGGCTCCCCACGTTGCGAAGGGTCCCGCGGGGGTCGACGTAACCCCCTCTGCAGTTGCCGCTTATAGAAGGTTCTTGAAACCACAGGCGAGCTGCCAATTCGTCGCTGACCTGGCGTCGCCATTTTTCCCATTTAATTTGCGTTTTAATGGCGTTTATTAATTGATGTTATAAGCTGGCGCTCTAAATTAGAGTGTGTTCTTGCATTTTACGACTGGCGATTCCGACCGTACTACATTAACCACGTGCACGCGGCTGGTTCAATACTGGTCCAACACTCATTAAGGAAGAAAGGGCAAACAACACGTGCTCAAACGTGCACAAAGTTCACGGGTTTGGATTATTTTTGTGTTTTCAGCGTGCAGAACACTGATGAAATGCATACATATGTGTTCGCAAGAATTGCTGTTTGGCCATTTTTTCCCCAGTGACAGGGGTCATCTACAGCGTCGGAAGAGCCTAGAAACGTACAACGCAGACCAAAGTTAAACGGAAACACAGAAATAATAACTGCCTATGTCTGTAGAGTTTAGAACCTTAGGAAGCCACTTGGTAAGTAATTACTAGCTTGTAACTACTAGCAGGTATATCTGGTAGTAGTAGGCAACTATTTGTATGTATATCTAGTCGTAAGTAGCCATCAGCATCTCTATCTCTATCTATACCTATACGGTTCCCTTCGGCAATAGGAAGCACCCACCGGATTGGAAGTTTCGAGAAACGTCCACGGGCTGCCTGGCTTGAGGCCAACCCACGCGCCGTCGGGAGGGGCGATCGACGCCAAGAAATGCAGATCTTCGTTGAATTGGTCAACGCTGGGATCAGCCAGCCTGCCGCCCATATCCTTGCACCGCCGCTGGGCCGCTTCGAAGCCGGCGGGTTGCGTTTCCAGGACGTAACGCCTGCCTCCATATGCGTAACATTTCGTCTCCCCCGATGGGCGCCACGAGCGCGCGGGGCACTCAGACAGAGGCCCTCGCATTTCCTGCAGAACAAGGGGTTAGCAAAACCATCAGCACATGGTTTTGTATACGTCCACAGTCACCACCAATTTTTGTGTCTGTTTGCGTACTCATTGTGTTGGTTTGTGCATAGTATTTTCGCTTTCCCTGACCGGCGAATTGGGGCTACTTAAGACTCTGACACCGGCCAGAAATCCTTCAGTGTGAAGTGCCTTTTACCAATCACCGAAAACTGTTGACAAATTAGTAACACACCGACGCTGTCTCCTCATGCACCAACCTGCAATTTGCAGTTTCCATATCTGTACCCCTGGTTGCAGGCCCTCACCCTTGCGAGGTTCCTGTTGATCATATTCCTCACCTGCGGTGCACATCAAAGTGCCGTCAAGGGCCAAACCAGTACTGGTGAAGTACTGCAGCAAGTCGGAGGGCAGTGCTCATTAACGCAATATTGCCGCAACGTTGGTTAACACTGTGAGGGCGAGGGGGCAGTTAATATATGATGTGTGGTATGTGGTGCATTTGCGATGGGGAGTGAATGTGAACATATTGCTATGATGAATGTGAACATATTGTTATGGCGAGTGCACATGGAGACAATGGAGCCCAAAAAATGAACGGTATTGCAGTGATCGCTCTGGTACGCTCATCCTGTAACGCATCTGGTGACGGCTTTGCTTCCTGCGCCTGGGAGCAACCGTGTGCGAGCGTGTGCGAAAGTTTTGGTTTATCTGATGAACACGATACCTGACAATTTACAACGGACTCTAGTGCATGGTAAAGCCTTCCTGCACTCTTTTGAGTGCAGCCGTTTACATTGCGGGAATAAAATTGAGTACTGTGTGCAGGGTTTTGCTGCACCTGACACCAGCAGACACGCCCCCATGCCCTAGATTCTGAAGGAAGGTGCACTCATTGCCGAACTACAACGCAAAAGAACAGCATTAAAGTAAGGCGTTAAAGTACTGTTCCACCTGCATCTCCCCCAGGCCCTCTTCCTCCAGCATCCTCAACGTCACCTCCTTTGCGATGACCCCTAACAGCAGCTTCCTTTTTGATGGTGTCCCGTCGGCGCATCTGATAATGTACTGCACTAATCACTTGATATTGCAGAAAATTAGATTGCAGTAAACTTAGACAAAATAGACAGTACTGTTGATGAGTGCAAAGAAGGTACAAATCCCACGCGCGCGCGCACACGCGGTCCTCTGGTTAGCCCGGCATCGGCTTGACGACCGTTTGGGCAAACTGTCATTATTAATATTTATTATTATTAATACTAATATTGATATGAATATTAGCATCATTATGATTGATATTGTTCTATTATTATCACTTATTGTTAACTATTGCGGGGCTGAAAGGTTAGCTGCTGAGTTGCGTGACTGCTGGACAATTGGTTGTGTAGCGATTCCAAAGTTGATAGTGGCAAATTCTAATCGTGTTTGATGAATCCAAATACGACGTAATCTTACTGGTGTATCTTGATACTGCAGAAAGTACTGATATAATTGATAATTGACACTATAGATACTACAGAAAGAAATCATTTTCGCAAAGCGCTAGCGCGCTATTCTCAATGTGCAGTGCTCATGCACAAACGCTAAATTACAATTGATGCTTCAAATCAATGTGCAAGTAGCTGAGGCGTCGACTGCAGATTTTTCCCGAGCATCTCGCTAGTACATCAGACCCGCATCATTATCGCAACATCGAGCACCAGAAATTTAGCGATTGGGCAACACTACAAAACATTTAAGTGCCATAAAGCAACGCAACATTCAGCCACTGAATCCTGCCGAAATAAAAGACATAGTATTGACAACACCTCATAAGGAATGATGGAGCTATCACACAATTCACCAGCAGAAAACGATATTCTTGCGATGCCAGCTGCGATGCCATTTGACACTTATTGATGGCATCGCATCCACTTGATCATCCCATTCATCCCATTGGCGTATTCTCAACCGTATATATACGGAAACCGTATTCTTCCGATGCAAACTGCGATGCCATTTGACACTAATTGATGGCATCACATCCACTTTTGTGCCATCGCAAAGACTGCGATGGCGCCACTTTGTGTCAAAATGGCATCGCGGTTGGCATCGCAAACATGGTGACTTCTGATAGTGATTATTCGAAGAGCTATGTATTCTTCACATAATTACATGATGATTTCATCAATCGAGGAGCCGGCAGCGCGTATGGTACTCACGAAATCCACAGAGCACAAGGCAAATGCCCTCTACTAAGTAGCTGAGTGTGCTGCAGTAGTACTAATTAGTAGTGCCTTTAAGCACTGACAGACTACCGAGTGGCGTTACGTGCGCAGCTCGTAACGCATCGAGCGTAATGCGCGCTTTTTCAAAGCTCACTTGGGCCGAGCGAAAACCGGCTGCACAACGTTGGTCCTCAGCCCAAGAGACGTGAAGTCCTTTGCGAGCGGCGCGAAGACCGCCGGAGGGGATGAGTCATCCAGCTCCGGCTCCATGGCGAACGCCAGGAACTGAAAGTAGGCACCCATGTTGTTCAAGGGCTCACCGCGACCTTTGCACGGCGAGCAACACGCCCCTTCAGTATTTAAGACCGGAAATCCCATGTCCTATTGCAGAAGGCAAAAGCTAAGGTACAGTGGTGAAGTCTAGGACCCAAAACCCTGGCCTGTGACGGAACTTGCAATGGCGCCGCCTGCACCAGCAGAACGCCGCGAATATACGTGCAATCAAATAAGTCAACCACAATGCGTCTGTATTGCTGTGCATGCAATACACTATCAATAATTGAATAAAGAATAATCCCAAAATGGATGTGCGCTGGTGTGCATTCAATACATTATCAGTCAAAATGCGTGTGCATTGTTGCGCTTGCAACATATTCAAATACTAGCAACGAGGACACCAAATCCTTGGATGCGCGACCTTCTGCAGTTCTTTGCCAGTTCCGCGGGTATTCGCACAGTGTACGCCTTTATAGCCTTCTATCCTTCCTTCTCAGCCAATTTAACACCAACCCGTCTTTCAATTTCTATTCACCCTCAATTTCAACCATGTTCTGTCTTATTTTCTCGTCGCGAACTTAGCGGTAACGTGGTTGACAGCTATTCAGTGGCGCTCACCGTCCAGCCTAAACCAGGCGCCCCCGTTGGCGCACGCCAGCTGCCGCGCCAGTCCGTCATCAGCGGCGTTCATTGTCAGAGTGAACACTGCGGCTCGACTGGAAGAAATCTCCAGAACGCGCTGCCTGGCCTCCACGGCCTCCAGGTACTTTTGAATGCCTTCTCGCGGACGCCCATTCCCTGATCCTGCTGATCTCTCTGATCCTTGATCCCCTGATGCTCCCGATCCTCCAACTGAGCACGGCAGGCCGCCATTCGACGCGCAGTCCTCGCCATCGCCAATGTGGATTATGATCTGCGAAGCTGCAACACACTCAGTGCATTTTTCTGTCTGCAAGTTTTCGTGGTGAGCTGAGCGCTTGGTGTGGTCAATGCTGAGACGAAGGCAGTTCCAAAAGGAAAAAAATGTAGAAACACTTCAGCACTACAGAAATACGCAGTAACCATGAGAACAGCAACAGAAAAAACAGCTATACAACTATAGCAGACATCTTTGCAGTGACTAATGAAAAGCGACAATTCCCGATATCGAGAACCAAAATAACAGAACAAACAAAAATTACTGGACGAAAACAGAAGAAAACAAGGGGATAGGGCTTGCTGAAGGGGGAGTGGCTTTGCCGAAAACGATGAGAACTCACATTCTGGCAGCTGCTCAGCAGGTCCCGCCGCTCGGACGCCTCCTGAAACATATCAAACGCCGCTTCGAACGCCGCGGCCCCGTCGGTCCCGTCCAAAGGGCTTACGTCATCCAAGGCGGCCACCAAGGCCTTCACATTTTCTGGACTGGCCGTGATCAGGCTGGCACCCCCCAGGAGAACGGCCCGAGAGTTGTAGGACACGATGTTGACCTGGTCAATGGTTTGGTCAAGGGTCAACAAAATTCCGTTGACCGTGTCCCTCGCGACGTCCCACCGCGTCTTGGCGGCGCCGCCGCCCCCGAAGTGAAACTGGTCGCCCATGGATCCTGGAAAACGCAGGCGGCGTTACCTTGCGCGTGTCAATGCCATTTTTGTCGTTTCCTTGCATTACAAAATGGGGGGGGAAATTAGCGCAGGAAAGTACTCACGTATAGAAATGAACTCCATCAACAGTTACGGTTGCCCTGCGTAACACAGACAATAGAAGACTACTACTCGCTGAGACGCACGACAACAAAACCTGGATGTTGGAAATGCCTAGTTTTGCATACGCAGGCCGCCCACCCAGCCAATGCACAATTTCATACACAATATTCATCACATATGCAAATCTGTTGCATGAATGAAATGGGGCTAACAAACAGGTTATCAATGAATGGAGCCTTAGGGGCTCTAGTTACGAGTGGGTGAGTTGGAGGCTCCGTCTAGTTCTCCAGCGTCTAGTGTCACTATCTCTTTGACATGTCGCACATAGTACACCACGTTTGCACCTCCAAGAAATTGCTAGGAGGGTTTATTTTCGAAAAAAAATCACATGGTTTGTAGGCCATGTTAGTTGGCAATTTATTGTAATGTCCTTCTTCCTGAAGGCGCTAAAGGCAGTCGCGATCAAATATGGAAAACGAACGTCAAATGGGACGCGGGCTGCGAAACTTTAATATACTGCATTCGTTTCGCAAACGGTGACGCCAAAACACACAGATATATGAACCAACAACAGAACTAAGCTGTGTCAGTGGCTTAATTTTTATTGAGCGAACGTGGACAGAAGGTTATGGAAACCTTCTTTCTTTTGGAGATGTTTCAGGCTGCAAGTGATGCTCCTAAAAGCATTATGCTCCTAAAAGGCGAGACTAAATGCAGATAGTACAGATATCAATACTAGCAGGGTATCACCACTTACTAAAGAAACATTCCAGTACATGATTCACGCACTTTCAGCAGTTATGAGCGGCCACTTACTTCCGGCTTGCACGATGATGACCACGTTCTTTGGCTCCGAGGTCGCCGCTTTGTACCAAACACTGTGCCTCTGCACGGTGAGACGTCAAGTCAGGTCCACCAGAACAGTATTGGATTCTGCAAATATGTTCCAAGGGTCGTCTAATTTCCCTAATTCAATACAGAATATATATCTGAGTTCAATCGAACTCCCGTTTTAGAGCTACATCTGGTGTAGTTTGCTCACCGGATCGTACACATAACATTTTCCTCTTTCATCCCGGTAGATTGGATGCATGGGCCAAATCCTGCGCAATCAAAATTCCCACCTCAACATCATAGCATAACTAAATTTCAACATCAGGTGCAACGTTCGTGATCATTACACCGTAATTCAGATTTTCAGAGCGAGTGGATTTAAAAGGCAATACCAGGCACGAAGGGCAACTGGCTCAAGGAGTGCTCGAATGCAAAGCCTCGGCATCCTGAACACCACCAAAGAAAGGACCAAATACCACTTTTTGCGAAGAACACGTATGTATGCATTCCATCAGTGTTCGGCACGCTAAAGACACCACAATAACCCAAACCCATAGACTATGTACACGTTTGAACACGTGTTTTTTGGCCATTTTTTACCTAGTGGAACTTCTCTAGAAATAATTCAGGAAGTTTAATGAGTGCTTGTGTGCCTGCATAATCATATTATGAATGTACATTGACATGCTGCACATAGGTCATATATTAGTCGCATTGCAATACAAGCAGATTGCATGTATATATGTGCACGTAACAAGGACGCAGGCAGGTGTAACAGTACTTGGCAGGGAGCAGACAGGTCTGCGGAGATTCCCCGGCTGTAGGCTTGTGCAATGATTTGACTGACATCGCACGCCTCGGCGATTGATCGCGGCGCAATATCGAGACACGGTCCATCATAAATCTGCTCAGTTGTCACGTCAGTTGAGGTTAATTGACATCAAATGTGCGCTTACCTCATTATTCCCGATCGGGCGGACGCGAAGTACATTGACGAATGAAATTCCCCGCTGAAATTGTGGACGGCCTTGAACGTTTCCTCCAGGCCCTGGAGCGCAAACAATGATATAGTGTACTGAGCTAATTAGGCTTGTTATTTACGCCGTAAACGCAGATCGTATTTAAGTTTTAATGCGGAAAAATAGCTTTTACGTTTTTACGCATGAACCGGTAAGAATGACTTTTCTGTTTTTACGCGTAATAATGCGTAAAATACGTAAACATAACGCAAATACAGACCTTTGTACATAAGGACAGTACATACAGCATTCGTGAGTCCGGGGAGTGGCAGCCAGACAGGCTGGAATGGGCAGAAAGCGATTTTTTTTTCAATGCCGTTGTGGCCTTGCTGAGTGCGATGTTGGCGCTGTGTTGCTGGTGCTCAAGGGTGGAGGGCAGATCATTGTACGCGACTTTTATCAATATCTTTATCATTATACGTGTTTTATCATTATCTCTTATCGCGTAGCTGCATGTCACAGCGAGCCGCAAACACAGCCATAATAATAGCTCTCTTTTTCATGCGTTTTCATGCGTAAAGACTTAAAAGCAAAAACGTAGACGCAAAAACGTGAACGCAACAACGTCAACGCAAAAAAGGTCAACGCAAAAATGTGAACGTAAAGACCTAAGCGTAAAAACGTTAACGGCAAAACGTAAACGTCAAAACGTAAATGCAAAAACGTGAACGTCAAGTGTCAGCGCAAATGCAAATAACAAGCCTGGGCCAAAGCTCTGGAATGAAGTACTGTAACAGAGCGCCAAAGCAAGTACATACCAACACTAGCAAAAAAAGAACCAAATAACACTTTTTGCGAGTACACACAAAACACGTTTCATCAAAATTCTGCACGCTAAGAGCACAAAAATAACCCAAACCCGTAAACTTTGCACACGTTTGAACACGTGTTATTTGGCCCTTTTTCTAGCGCAAAGGGCGAAACACAAGCACTCGTTCGAGCAATTGGAAAATAAATATTGACCATTGCGCCGACAACTTTTGTTCTGTAGCGTGTCATGAGCACAGCACTGACGAATGTACAGGATTATGCGTTGGAACGAAGTACTGGAGGTACTGAGGTGAATGACTGGAACAAAGCACAGGAGTTCCGTTATGGGTGTAAAGCACGTGGCAAAGGCACTGAAATGCTGGATTGATACTTTTACTGTCATATTGGGCTTAAGTACTCGACATCTGAAAAGCTCAAAGATTGATTACTAAGGAATGCAGATATGATCAATGTTGCTTCATTGGTCGAGCACGTATTGGGGCAAAATAGATACAGATCTGGGCTAGCTCAATAAGCGCAGATACTAAGTATTTAGTACAAGTACTGAGTACCAAGTCCAAGGCAATAAGTATAACGATATAATCCTTGTGTCCACTTTGTCTCAGAAGATGTCCGGGGAAAACGCCCATTTGTTACCACTCCTTCCTGTGTCGAAACAGCGTTAAATTAGCGCAATAGCTGTAATGAGCGTTGAACACCCAAAAACCATAATATGAGTCATCATCGTGCACAACACTACTTGGCAGTGTGCATTGTGAACACTGCACCATGCACTTGCAAGTGGGTTAGATCGCCCAATCGCCACCGCCGAATATTATTGGCCGCAGCGGTTCAAAATTAGCTAATTCAATGCTGGTCTCTGGAACAGCCTGAGACCAGTGCTCTCAGTGAGTGCAACCCAACTTGGTGACACCAGGCTGGGTGAGTCAACATTCGAGGCATTTGAAGCGCCCCTTGGATTATGCTATAAGGGAACGACAGAACTCACAACAAGCGGCAGAAAAAACAGCTTTAAGTACTTGTGCATTTCCAAACAGCTCGAATGAGCACGAGGCATTCCTTGTATCAAAAACAACAAAAGGGACTGGATCCAGTTCTGGACCCAATTCTGTTTATTGGTTGTCAGTTTATCGGTATTTCAACAGAATTAGAAAGAACTGGATCCAGTCCTATTTATCAGTTTTGGAACCAGTAAAACAAATTTGCTTGAATTTTGGGGATTACCTGTGTCATGCAGATGTCCTCCAGTACGTCGGGGCTCAGATTTGGATCTTCGTTGATGATGTCACTCGGCGTGGTGACCACCGAGGCGTTCATGTTCACCTGGGCAGCGCGCGGCAAGATGCATGAGTGGTTGAACATTATGTACTACGTGGTGTATCCACTAATGTAACATGCTGCTACATAAACTGTGCACTACATACAACGCAACAGCATTATGTACATTACATTATTAGCATTTCATTATCATGCATTGTATTATTAGCATTAGCATTACATTATCCGGCATTATATTATTAACATTAGCATTACATTATTATGTACATTACATTATGACATATAACATTACGTACAACGTAACAGCATTATGTAATATCACCTCAGATAATCTGCCTGCATCGAATGGGCTTCTTCCAAAGAGTGTAGGAACACCGTTTTGGGCCAACCGGCATGGGACATACCAGTACTTTGTAGTGTAGCCCTTTCGTACTGCACCTTGTAGCACATAGGAGTGCTTTGTAGCAACGCACTTTGTACTACACCTTGTAGTATATAGCAGTACTTGCTGGACCCATATTTCCTATTAATGTACTGAGTCCACGTGCACCCAGCTTAGGCAGGGACAGCCCCAACTGGGATCCCTATACTGCAGATAGCAGAGCACTTCTAGCACTCCCCAAAGATGGGCCACATCGAACAAATGCATCTCCACCAGGTGAGCTCTTACTGTGCAAGATCATAGTTCTGCAGTATACTCTTCAAAGGGGTTTTGGTGTCCTGCCGCATTAATGTGGGCCCCACGGTAGTGCTCAAGTTCCACGGCTTAAGTATTGCACTAAAGTACGGACACTCATTGAATCGAATGTGCTTTCACTCTAGTGCATGAGTGCCGCAGCCGGCGGAGGACGAGCACTAGCCCCAAGAGAGGGAACACACTGAAGATATGAATCTATGGCAGACTTCCACATAGCACAGGCAAGAAAAGCAAGGGCATGTAATCTTCAGAAGAAAGTGAACATTCTGGAACACAGCATTTCTGTTACAGTACTGGAGCACATATGGCAGCATAGCACTTTGTCCAGTACGTTAAGAACTGCTGTGTCCCGATTGCGCAGAACTGTGATGCAGCATGCTGCTGGAGAAATGCCCCGCACATCGCAATATGCATCGGATCGCTTTTTTTATCATCTTTTGCCTGTGCCACTCCCCACCCACGATGGATGGCGTAGGAATACTAGCCCCCGATTCTGGAGCCATGCTCTGTGTGCAAGCTCCACTATGGAGAAGTTGCATCCCCGGTGTTGGCAGAAACAGGTTTGGCGATGGAGACAGTACCACCATTTTGGCATAAAGAGATGACATTACAGTGGCTGCGATGGTAATGCAGTGACTGTGATTGCATAATTCAACAGGTAAGTGGAATTGCTGTTGGCATCTACCAAAAGGGTGTTGTCTGTTGGTGCGAGAGATGGACTTTCTTCAAGCGGATGAAACAGTGGCATCTCAGGCTTGAAACTTGCCCAGCCTGGAAACTCTGGTTCCAATGGTCAGCATCGAACAGCTGCACATCTCTCACCCGGCATGCACACATCTGGCAAGATCCCCGGGGGCAACCATTTGCCAGATGTGCAGGTACCTCTCTCCTATCTTTTATCTTCGCCTTATTTTTATGTGTCGATTGCATTCGTGGGCTAAACATGCATGGAGCAGTATCAGCATTGGACAGAGCTCTTGCACAGGTTGCATATATGGTACATGCTGGTGTCGATGCCGTATCCCACAGAAATTCTCTCCACAGCCTCCAGCCCAGCGCCCCCACCCCACACCCCACCCCTCCCCACACACTAACCCAACCCACCCACCCGCACCACTCTATCCTTTCGCAGCAGCTCAATGCATGTAGCAGGCGCAGGCAAGCTTGCTTTATGTGAGGGATTCTAAGGTAAGGTCACATAGCTTTGTGCCTGATTTCAAACTGAGGGTGGATAGGAGTTATTCCCACGGGATGGGAAAAACATTGAGTTTGTTGTTCAAACATCCA